GAAAGAAAAAGTGATCGAGACGAGATTTGAATCCGCGATCCTCTATTTGACGCCGCTGTTCGAGTATCATCTTGTTTCTAAAAGGCTCGTAAATATTGATAAAACAAGAACATCTATATTTCAGTTAAAGAAAAGAAAGAAAGAAAGAAAAAAATAATTTTTCAGACGTGCTCCAGTCGAGGATCGAACCCTGAAACTCTGRATTATGGGTCCCTTGGGATTGTTAAACTGYGACGTGGAAAGAAAATAAAAWTAAAGTCSCWGCATTTTATAACTGTGCCGCAGGACGTCGACATGGACACGGTAAAAAATTCATTGGCGGCTATCTTCTTGATTAAGATTGACTGTTCTTTTGTTCTTGCATTCCTTTMATTCGTTTATATTTCCATTCGCTTTTACACTTCCCAACTTTCTTTCAATATTACCTTCACAATGTTGTCCAGTTGTTCCATTTTGACAAGTACAGTCATACTGTCCGCCGTCCAGCTCTTTACAGATTCCATTGTTCTTACATGGATTAGGATGACATGGATGTGGAATTTCTGAGTGAAAATGCGTAAATCAGTGTACCTGTGTCAGAGCAACACAGGGATACCACACTTACTTACTTTTGCAGTGGAACCCGTTACCAACGAAACCGTCCACACATACGCACGTGTTATTGATGCACTTGGCATTGACGTCACAGACTTTGCAGACATCCTCTGGAAAAGGGTCAATAAGCAATTACTTTCACAGTAGAAACGTTCTGGCTCAATAAGGTTTAGAATATGACACTATGAACTCATTTACACGAAGTTTGTATGAAAAATTATTTGATAATCATAAGGAAGATCCATTTTGAGGAGGGATAATAAAGTTTTTGGGTTGTTCCATGTTCTTTTTAAAGTCATCTTTTTAACGTAGAAAGAATTACTCTATCTTAAAGTCATGTTTATCTTGGCTGAGGGGAGTTTGTACCGAGTACTCACTTTCACAGTTGGCGCCAAGAAACCCAGGYSGACACAAACACAAGTAGTTGAGATATCCTATGTCCCACTTATCTGGGTATATGCTGTAACCGCTGTACGAGTCAACGCAGACCCCATTGTTGAGACATGGACGGGTATAGCATGGGTTTGGAACTGGGGAAAAATGAATGAGCCGCTCTAAACAAAATGAAGGATGATGTAGAGTAGGATATGGAAATAGGACGGTAGGACATAATGGATGATAGAAAGAGGCAATCAAGAGAAAAATAAGGAAGGAAGGAAGGAAGAATGAAAGGGAGGAAAGAGGAAAGGAAGGAAGGAAAGAGTGGATATTGTATAGGAAGATGGAATACAGGAAGTAGTAAT